AGGCCTCGTCTCTGACCACATGTGGAGAGTAGATGGCAGAGGTCACACCAGGAAGATCAGTTCATTTTTTTGTGTGTGTGTTTATCCAGATGAGAGCCTGGAATAGGGACTCTGAGGATGGAAAGAAATGACGGTTCCCAGAAAAGTGTAAGAGTTATTAACATGTGTAAGAGTTGACAGTTATATTTGAGGACAGCGAGGACAAAGAACTATCTTTGTGGGATGCAAGAGGATGGCAGGACCTCTCAGTGACATTGTAAAACCTGGACCTGCTGGGAAAGGCAGATGAAGCCTTCGGTTAGGATATATTGAGTTTGAAGTGCCTGTGGAACAAAGAGGATATGCAAAGTTCATATTTCAAGCATTATTTTTAGCGACTTCCTGTTTGCCCGTAGTGTGTTGTGACTTAAAAAAAAAAGGTGGTCATCAGAAAAGAAAGGTTCTATTCAATATAAAATGTGCTTTCAAGAACAACATACATAGTTTCTGTCAATGACTTAAAAAATGTAGAAGGAAAATTCAAAGAAGGTCAGCTTTAATTGTAAGTAAATAAATGAGCAACAGCCAGAAGAATGAAAAGAAAAGGTGAGATGCTAACAGCATTCCAGCCACGCGGGTGTCCTCAGATCACTCCTGGAGCTGGAACCAGAAGGAAACATTGGCCAGGCGGTGCTTCCAGAGAGAAGCATCAACTTGAGATCGAATTGCGCTGATCCTTCTGAAGTTAGAAAAAGGAAAAAGACTCTTGATGAAGTGCAGATAGTGGTTTGGGCTTGTCTCAATGTAGGGAGTACATTGCAGTTCATTCCTGTGATTCCTTGGCAGTGAATTCAGTATGACAAGAAACAATGTGGAGAAGGGAGAGAGAAGAATAAATTCACACATGTTACCAAAGCTTTACTATCTTCTCACCCTAAACTTTTAGCTATAATTTTGAAAAACTCCCCATGGAGTTTAATGTTCCCTTTCTTTGGAGAGCTTGCTGACTAGGGAAAGATTTCAACGTATTACTGAAGCCAGTTTGAAACTTTTGCTCTTTGCTTTCCTCCCATGGCCTGTCACTTGGGCAGAGAAGAGGGAGAGGGTGTGATTACACTCAGCCTTTAGGGATGGCTGGGTCAACTTTTATTTTCAGGATGACCAACTGGAGGTCTAAAATTTGGGAAACTGTTCAATGTCCATGGCTATGTTGACCATAGCCCACAAGTTTGGTCATAATTTAATTTATTCATTAATTCCCTTTTGTGGCAACATAGGAGATAGCACATCTCCAAATTTTTCATGAATCCCAAAGAAAAATCTTAACCTGACTTTTCTTCCATGTTATTGCCAGATTACATTTTAAGAAGTGCTCCTTGAAACTGTGTTCCCAGCACATGAAAGAAAATAGACATTGTTGGTGTAGGGTGCTTTTGAAAGGCATTATCTCATTATCCCTCTGGAATGGAAATGGCTTCAGAGTTGGACAGAATTGTTTTGGGGACGGGAGATGAGTATTGTTGTTTTTCACACGGTGACCAGTTACTTTGGTCCTGCATTGACTGCCTGAGCCTGTTCGGTGTCTCTCATCTGCCTCTCTCCTACAGCACCTCTGCCCTCTACTATGAACATGCTGAACTTCTCTGTGTCTGGGTTCCTTCCTAGTGATCTCACATGGGACTGTCCTCAGTGCTGGCTCCAGACCCTCTGGGAAGTGCCCTGGGAAGCCTGGGTCTCCACCCAGCTCCACCCACTGAACTTGGGCCCGGGTCCTCTCTGCCTTTCAGGGTGCATCTGAGGACTGCTTGTTTGGTGTCACCTTTACCCTCTAAGACAGAGGTTTTCAAACCTTTCTTCACTGTGACGCACAATAAGAATCAAAGTGGACATCACAATACAATGTACACATAACTTTAACTCTACATATGTAGACATGTAAATAAAAGTTGCACAGATCACCCCTTGTATTTAAGTCATGCTTTGTAGTCTAGTTTTCCCTATTCCATTCCATTCCATTCCATTCCATTCCATTCCATTCCATTCCATTCCATTCCATTCCATTCCATTCCATTAAATGACACTAAAAACATGCTGGTCATAACCCATGTTCATTCTACAACTTATTAATAGCTTATCATTTGTAATTTGAAAACTGCCTTCTCTGTGGCTAGGACTTCCAGTACTATTGTTGAATAAGAGTGGTGAAAGCGGACAAATCTGCCTTGTTCCTGTTCTTAGGGGAAATAGTTTTAATTTTCCCCCATTGAGTATGAAGTTGGCTGTAGGTTTGTCATATGTGGCCTTTATTATGTTGATTATGACCCTCTATTTCCACTTTACTGAGAGTTGTTTTTTTTAATCAAAAAGGGGTGTTGGATTTTGTTGAATGTTTTTTCTGTGTCAATTGATATGATCACGTGATTTTTATCTTCCAGTTTATGTGATGTATCACATTTATTGATTTGTGAATATTGTACCAGCCTTACATTACTGCACTTGATTGTTAAAGGACTTAGATAAGCTTTCAGAAATATAGCTATTTATAAGCCAGACTTCATAATGATTTAGTAATGGTGAACTTAATGGTATAATGAGCTATTTTTTTATTTTTTTATTTTATTTTTAGCTGATGCTTTATTTATAGTTAGGGGCAAACAAGGTTGTTCACAATGTCCTTTTTAAAAAATATATTTTTTATTGACTTTTTTACAAAGAGGAAGAGAGAGATAGAGAGTTAGAAATATCGATGAGAGAGAGAGACATCAATCAGCTGCCTGTTGCACACCTCCTATGGGGAATGTGCCCACAACCAAGGTACATGCCCTTGACTGGAATCGAACCTGGGACCTTTTAGTCCGCAGACCAATGCTCTATCCACTGAGCCAAACTGGTTTCGGCATAATGAGCTATTTTTATATGCATGCAAGTATTTTATTAATTTGAAAACTGCTTGGAATAAGTACCTGTATGTGGAAGGATATAAATTTTCACAGAAATTGCATGATAATATTTCCTAAAGAATGAGAATCCTATTAAATGTCCTTTTATCTATAAAAATAAGTTCATCAGTTAATCAGATGTGTCCGAGTTTGGTAGGTGGTCACAGTTCATTGACACCAGCTTTGTCACGGCCAGATGTACATGCTGTCATTTATAGAGTCCACAGTACTGGGAAGTGAATGACTTGGATTCTCTGCCTGGCTCACCAGTCACCATGAGTCATGGAGACTGTATTCCTAACTGCCCGGCAGTGAGCTTGCAGTACAGATTGTTTTTTTCCTGGAAGTAGGGAATTCATTCACACTCTTCACAGCCTGTTTACAACCAGTACACATACTGGCAAGTTAACCAGCAAGGTGGCTTTGTCTGTGACCAAATGGTTAAGAAACTCATCAACCTCGGTCATGTTAGCACCAGTCTGTATCACCAGCACAGCTAACCCAACAGTGATATTACTCTGAAATACCAAGGGGTTCCTCCAAATCTCTGATTTCATAAAGATTGCATAGTCATTGTCAACAGGGTGGCCTAGTTTTATAAGCCTGTTCTTCATTTTTTCTTTTAACAAGAACACTTATTGTGAGTCTACTATGTGCCAGGCACTGTTATGGGGTTGCAGGTGCAATAATGAATGCAACAGGGCAGGGAAAATAACCCTACTTTCTTAACTTGGGGTCTATGGAGTTTGTATGAGGGAAATAGTGCATCTTAATTTTTAACTAACTAACCGAAATTTATTTCTTCCAAATCATGAATGTAGATAACCAATTATAGCACTATTGGGAGAGCCTGTAACTTTGTCACCGGTAGAGATCACAGATAGGTTCATATCACACACAGTGACTGTAAACATCTCAAAATATTATTGTGCTCATCCCTGCTTATAAATTATGATAGTTCAGTCTTGCTGTTAAATACTGTTATTTAATAAAGAAGCACATATCACAATTTTAAAAAATACCTGTTTTTAATGATTACACTTCAAAGTAAGAGATTTCCTTATATCTCTGTGTATTGTAGCTCATGAATTTTCAGACATCCTGAGAAAGAGGCTCGCACCTCACCGAATTGCCTAAGGAGGCTCCTGGCATAGAACTGTTAAGCTTCAGTGTAATCCCTGACTGAGCGCTTTCCTCCACCTCCCACAGGAGCGGCACACTCTGCATTTGTTCTCCTCTCGAGGAGATTACTCAGATACATCCTGAGCCGACGGGGAGGGTTTTCTGGGTAATTCCACACATTGTGACTGTGAAAGACCCTTCTTCGCTTCCTGTGTAACGCAGGCCACACACTGTGAAAACACTTGCCGAACAATGCAGCAAGTCCAGCAGAAATTCGGCTTCTTGGAAAAATGGCAGTTTAATGCTTCACAGATCAGCTTTTAGGCTTCTCCGAAAGTTACCCAAAGGGCCTTCCAGGCAGTGCCATTTATTTGATGAGAAGGAGATGTAGAAATAGAATCGGTTCATTTCACTCATGTTCATCATCTTTTTAGCCAGTGTCTGCATCACGGTGTTGACCCGGAGGATCTGTCCCGATTGAGAGGTCCTAAGCCATGGACCATGCCACCTTCGCCTTGACCAGCCTGTGGGACATAGGAAGGGACATACACGTTTGAGGGTTTTAGTGAGGCAGTCACAGGCACAGGACCTCATGCAGGTGGATGGGGAGGCTGAGCCCTAGGTAAATGGGTATGCCAGAGAATTCTGCCTTGCTGCTACATGTTGTGTGCTTCAGATCTCTGGATCTATTCGTCTACCTCTCAGCAAGAGGGCAAATCAAATACAAATGCAAAAATTCCCAGCATCTTGATATTGCTGGGAACATCAAACGAGAAATTCTGTAATTTTCACATTCCACTTGATGCTGGTCTAAGGTAGAGGGAAGTTGATTCTGTGTCATTAAACCGCCTGGGTTCCGTCTCCAGTTGTGTCCTTTAGCTCTGAGTGACAGACACACAGAAGTGTGATGACAGCTGTGAGCCCCGTGGCCCTCACTTGCCGGCTTCTCTTCCTCTCCAGGCTGGTGAAGGATGCTCCCTGGGATGAAGTCCCGCTCGCCCACTCCCTGGTGGGCTTTGCCACTGCCTACGACTTCCTGTACAACTACTTGAGCAAGACGCAGCAGGAGAAGTTTCTCGAAGTGATTGCCAATGCCTCGGGCTACATGTATGAAACCTCGTACAGGAGAGGATGGGGCTTTCAATACCTGCACAACCATCAGCCCACCAATTGCATGGCTCTGCTCACAGGAAGCCTCGTTCTCATGAACCAAGGTGCGTACAGGCGCAGCTGAGGGGCGCCCGGGCTCCCATGAGTCGTGGTTGCCATGTTGCGAGCAAAGCATTTAAAAATATTAAAAAAAAAATACATTTTATTGATTTTGTACAGAGAGGAAGGGAGAGAGATAGAGAGTTAGAAACATCGATGAGAGAGAGTCATCGATCAGCTGCCTCTTGCACACCCCCTACTGGGGATACTGGGGATATGCCCGCAACCAAGGTACATGCCCTTGACTGGAATAGAACCCGGGACCTTTCAGTCCTCAAGCCGACGCTCTATCCATTGAGCCAAACCGGTCTCGGCTAAAAATATTTTTTTAATTGATTTCAGAGAAAGGAAGGGAGAAGGGAGATAGAAACATCAATGATGAGAATCATTGATCAGCTGTCTCCTGCATGACTCCTACTGAGCATTGAGCCTACAACCCAGGCATGTGTCCTGGGAATTGAACCGTGAGCTCCCTGGTTCATGTGTCAATGCTCGACCACTGAGCCACACCAGCCAGGCATGAGCAAAGCATTTTTTATAATTAGTCTTCGTACATGTTCATACTTGATGCTAAGTCTAGGAGGTAAAGTAAGAGCTAGGGCATCTCTTCGAGAATTGACATCTTCCTTCATTTCTGCTAGTTATATTAGCATGAAGGTTATTTAATTATGGCTTTTTGATTGTCCCAAGCCATGTTTTTTAAATATATTTTTATTGATTTTAGAAAGAAAGGAAGGGAGAAGAAGGAGAGAAAGAAACACTGATGTGAGAAACATCTATCAGTTGTCTCCTGCATGCCCCCTACTGGGGATTGAGGGCTTGTTTGGAGGTTCTAGCAGGGGAGCGCAGCTACTCGTATACCCTTGACCGAAGACCGGTCCTCTCCTCTTGGGGGAAAGTCGTCCTCTTCGACCGAGCGCGCAGCTTCGGGAGGGACGCACATGGATCGGTGAGGGAGGAGGGGGACACCCGCCTAGCCAGCCAGATCAGCTGAATCAACCCTGGCGATCAATGGGGTGACAGATGTCGCAGCCAGATCGCCCTCACATCCCCTACTGGGGATTGAGTTCACAACCCTGGCATGTGCCCTGACTGGGAATCCAACCAGCGACCCTTTTGTGCACGGGACAACGCTCAACCACCTGAGCTACACTGGCTAAGGCCCAAGCCATATTCTTACAGCATAGGACCAGTGGTAAATGCTGAGTTTTCCAGAGAATTTTGACAGTGAAGACAGCCAGCCTGGATAAATAGAGTTTTTAAAAGCTAAACAGGTGGCTTACTATTTGAAATGAATATTCCTTGCGCAGATATGTATCATTCCATCAGTACTCTTATTCTCTAAAGACTTCAAACTATCCATGTGGATCACTTAGGTCAAAATTGGAAGTAACTTTTGTGGATTGTATAGCTATTTTGCCTTAATGTATAACATAATTGCTAATATTAGATTTTTTTGGTTCTTATAATTCTGTCTTAACTACAACTCCAGTGGAAGTCTATAAATGACTAAATAAGATTATATTTAAGAAACGGAGCTCTGTCGAAACCGGTTTGGCTCAACGGATAGAGCGTCAGCTTGGGGACTGAAGGGTCCCGGGTTCGATTTCGGTCAAGGGCATGTACCTTGGTTGCGGGCATATCCCCAGTAGGGGGTGTGCAAGAGGCACCTGATCGATGTTTCTCTCTCATCGATGTTTCTAACTCTCTCTCTCTCTCCCTTCCTCTCTGTAAAAAATCAGTAAAATATATTTTAAAAAAAAGAAAGAAAAAGAAACGGAGCTCTAAGAACACAGTGAATTAGAAGGATATTAAACATATACTTGGAGCTGGCAAGTCTAAAAGGATTTAACTATTATATTCCCTATAAGAATATGAATTCTCACATCAACCATATAAGGTAGCTGGGATTTTTTAACCCACTTCTGGTCAAACTCAAAGTTCAACCTCTTTCCACTATATTTTGTTGCCTCTCTGGGAATAGAAATTTAATTTCTAACAATAAGGAAAGCTTAATTAAGAGAGTGAATTTTCATGCTAGCTTCCTTTGCCCCCTACTTCACAAAAGCTAAATTTAATCCCACGGTCTGTGGCTCGTTCAGATTGTAGCAAAATTTGTACGACTTTCCTGGTAGGAGTTTTCATATGTATTTTTTCCCTGATTAACATTATTTATAAGGAGCCTGGGTAGAAGAAGGGTGAAATCTCTGGTTTTGCATAAACTCAGTTATGCTGGTAGTCCTCACTTTCATGGCATACTTTCTCCAACGTTAGGTGCTACTTGGGTCAAGTTGTTCAAATATTCCATGTTCTCCAGACCAGCCTGCAGGTACTGACGGGGGTAGCGTAGAGCACACCTGTAGTTACACTGGATTCACATAAAATCTCCAAAGAGGGAGAATTAGACTTTTCTGTCTGTTCTGCTAACCCTATCTAAGTCTTGGTGCACAGAAACCACAGGACCACATGTAAGCAGTTTACAAATCAAGAGGAAAGAAGAGAGATATGAAATGTTCAAATGATTACCCAATAGTTATTAGAGCACCAGGGAATTAAATAAGAGGTATCACGAAGTTATGGTTACATATCCATCGAGTATATTACGTTTGAATTCAAAAGAACAATATTCTTTAAGTGAGCTTGAGAAGGTTCATGGAACTTTGAAGGATGGATAGGATTTAATAAGTAAAAACAATGAAGAACATTCTAGGTAAGGTTTGTGTATGGTGGAAACACACCAATCAGTAACAACAATGGTACATTATATGACAGATTTGAAGTTTGCAAAATATGTTGGGGGACATTGCCTTATCTCCTGAACAGGGTTTTTATAAGGAAAAAAAAAAACAAGGAAAATCAAACTATGTGATGTCCTGGGAGCAGAGAGCATCAGTCGCCTTGGTGTCTGGTTGCAGATAGAGGCTACAGAGAGGGAAAATATGAAGATGATTGGAATTTTAAACTCTAACGGTCAGAGAACGGAAATTGAAAAGTATTCAGAAGGTTGCATGCCAGGTGTGGAGCTGGGTGGGAAGACTGGTCCAGGGTATAATTAACAGTCATCTCTGACCAGCAAGCCTGAGAATGGTGTTTCCACATGAGGCGGGACTTACTTAGCCTGGGTCTGGAAGCCCCCACGCCCAGCACACTAGTAGCCATGACGGAGTACACAGCACTGATGGTCACACACACAACTGTGGGAGTGAAGTAAGACTCCACCCACATGGGGAGGCAGTGAGCTTAATTTTATCTTCAGGAGTTGTGTGTTTTAAATACAAGAAAATAAACCTTCAAGCCCAAGCCCAGGGCTCAGATCAGAGTTCTCTTCCTTTTCAGTCATGTGTCTGAGGTTTTGAACTAGTCAACCTTTCTGTAACTTTGGGAGTAATAATGCATCATTGAGCTATTAAAGGGATTAAGTAGGATTATGTTCAGTGTTGTGTAAATTACAAATGTCATAAAAATGTGAGGAGTTGTTATTGTTACTCAAATGCTAGTCTCGCAAAAATTACAGAAAGCTAGCATTTATGTTGTAAGGATTTTGAAAAAGTGTTTAGCCCTTTAATTTTCATTTGGGGAGACTGAGGAATGTGACAGGTTGAAGAGATGCTTGAACAAAACCACATAGCTAATTTTTGGCAGATTCTGGACTCCCGGCTGATGTTTTTTGGTCCTTAAGTTGCCACTTCAATGGTTCCTTCACCCCATTGGGCTGCCTTTTCAGATCCCAGGGAACCTAAAAGCACAAAAGAATGTGAGAAATTGTTGTCTGCTGATAGAACAAATTGAAGACTGCCCATTTAGCTTTTGTAGTATTTGTAGTTATTACAAATCCTATAAAATAATGGTGAAAGTTTTATAAAGTGATAGACTTCAAAAAATATATTCAAGTAGTAGTTTTTAGTAAAATTGAATCAAAAGTCTTAATATACAGATATTTTCCTGCCAGCATAAAGTGATGTGCAATTTATGATCTTGGATGTGATGTGGTTTCAATTTATTAAAGATTGGAAAATGACTGATGTTCACTTAAAGGTTTATCTTTGTATAATTAATAAAAGACCTGTATTCAAGAACTTCTTAACTTATATCCTAAACCCATCACAATCCTGGATTAGCAGGATGATCTTTATAACATTGATAAGCGGGAGTTTTACAAAATGCAGTTTGTAATATAAAGGAGTCAGATAACCCCGAGGGTTTTATTTGGCTGCATTTTTGTTAATGTTCGCTGCCGCCTGAGTCATTGTTTCCACGTGTTTCCATCCTCCAGGGTATCTTCAGGAAGCCTACTTGTGGACCAAGCAGGTTCTGACCATCATGGAGAAGTCTCTGGTCCTGCTCCGAGAGGTGACGGACGGCTCCCTCTATGAAGGGGTCGCCTACGGCAGCTACACCACCAGATCCCTCTTCCAGTACATGTTCCTCGTCCAGAGGCACTTCAACATCAACCACTTCGGTCACCCGTGGCTTAAGCAGCACTTTGCCTTTATGTATAGAACCATCCTGCCAGGTATGGTGAGGAATCGCAAGTCGGTTAACGTTAACTATTGTCATTTCTCCTGATTGTGAAAATGGGCTACAGAAATGTGGGGTTTGAGCCATATTGCAATTCGAGGGATTAAAAAAAAAAAAAATCAAAATAGAATTCAACGTAAGAGTTAGACAGCCGGAACATCTTGGGAGTTAACGGGAGGATTTGTGATCTTGTAAAGCTTGGAGCATGATGGATCAAATGGAATGTGCACCCGCCACAGAACTTTTATTTTTGTACGTGTAAGCCATGCATACATGTACAAAACAGAATATAGTAAGCATTTATGATTACATGCTCATTTTCCTTTATATGCGACCCCTGATCAATCCTATTTTGGCTTTTAGTTAATCATTTTTTTCTCCCAAACTATATAGACATGATTCAAAATGAAATATTTCACCTATGTATGTAAGCTGGGGCTTTAGTATTTTCTTTAAGTATTTTATTGAAATAAATAGTACAAAATATAGGGATATAGCCAAAAAAGTGAATTTATATAAAACTAGTCTCGTGTTGCTGTGTAGCTTAGTCTTCTAGGAGAACTGGCTCAAAAAAAAAAAAAGTTATATATGATTTAAGAACTGATTTATTTCTAAGAGAGCCTTGTAACTCTTATTTTGAAACAGGATTTTAAAAAAAATTTAGGAGGTAGTTTTTCATCAAGATGGGTTCCCTCCTCCCTCCAGTGAAATGAAGTTTTCAGAAGATGATTCTAGAATTACAGTAAAAAATTCAGTATTTAATTCTTTTTGCTGTGGTTGTATACACATAGATTGGATAGAATCTCCATTATTGGGTTAGTTTTTAAAAAATAATACAGAGCAAAAGAACCATATTAAAATTTAGTTTAGACTTTACATTCAAAACTCTGTCTTATTGCTTATTCTTAGACATACCAGAGTGACCTATTCTATAGTTTATGTTGATAACCAAAGGTCTTTAATGGTCACGGTGTTCTGTAATTTGAGCTGAGATCTAACAGCCAACCGTGGCAGGGCTGGGGTCTGCTGTGAGCTGTGTATGAAGCTGCTTCTTAAGCTGGAAAAGACAGCATGAACTAAGAAGAAAATTTAAATACTTGTGTCCATTAACGCAACAGATCTTTCTTGAACACCTATGTGGTGGGTAGGAGATTCAAAGAGGAGTAAAACAATATCATCTGCTTTCAAAAGATTCAGAAAATCACATTTTATAGTAAGACTTATTTAGAAAAGCAATTACTAGACTGTTAGAAACAAAAATACTAGCTGTAAATGACAGAAATGCAGTCATGGTGACATTTGGGAGAAATTCTGTGTTCCGTCAATTTGCTTTAGCCTTTCTCTTTTTTCTCTCCAGTGGCTATTCTGATGACTAGTGCTGTCTGACCCAGAGTTTTCCCCTTTCTTCTTTTTTTAAGAATGTCTGGAGCATATCATGTCTTTCCTGCTTTTATTTTTCTGACCCATTTCAGTATGATATTTGTTTTTCCTCTCTTTCCTTTAACGTCCGGCAATACAGACTGGCAGGATCTCTGTGGGAATTGAGTTTTCTTCCTGTGGAAACTTAGGTTCTCCCCCTACACCTTATAACGCTCGCTCGATTGGAGGGCAAATTGAGGCATTTTTGTTACTGTTTTGGTGTAGGATGTGGAATGAGTTGGTAGGAGAGCTGTTGCTCATTTGAGGTCCAGGAACTTACCATGCACAAGAGGAGAGTGTATGTATCTGTGCAAACATAGCTGCACATAGTATGGACCCTAGAAATTGAGGAAGGTGGACAGTGTATGTCATTAGTGTGGCATTCTCATCACCAATGACAGGTTACCACATAACAAATACACACTTGCACACGAGATTTCTGGAAGACCTTAATTGGTCTGGGGTGGAGTGTGGGCCTTGTGGTTTCATTTGCCATCTTTATCCAAGATACACACTTGATTCTAGTTTGCAGGCAGGATTGAAAATCCTCGTGTAGACCTTTATGGGGATGTGCAGCTTTAAACTTAGTTCTGTCAAACTTCTCTCCTTAGGATTTCAGAGGACGGTGGCCATTGCAGACTCCAATTACAACTGGTTTTATGGCCCAGAGAGCCAGTTAGTGTTCCTGGATAAGTTTGTCATGCGGAATGGCAGCGGTAACTGGCTGGCTGACCAGATCAGGAAGAACCGCGTGGTGGAAGGCCCAGGGACCCCCTCCAAAGGGCAGCGCTGGTGCACTCTCCACACGGAATTTCTCTGGTAGGACACGTGCATGGGCTTTGGGGAGAGATTGTACCCAGGGGTATGGGTGTGCTCGTTTTTTGCCTTTAAAAAAACACCACAAAAACTAATCTAAAGCACTTTATGCCACCTCAGCACTTGCAAATTCAATTCCTATCAGTGTTTGAAACTCTGCTAGAAACATTTTCTGACATTTAAATCTAATGACTGTTTGCAGTTTGATTTTCGTATGTTAGAGATGTCCTAGGCTCATTGTTTTACAGCTATGGCTGTTTTGATTTACATCATTTTTGAAATTGTATAAAGAGAAACCCATTAACTAAATTTGACTGGGTTATCTGATAATCACACCCCAAAAAAGGTAAGTAAAATGTTTTGTTTGGGGAAATGAAGCATTATAATCTGCTAATAGTAAAGCTGTTTCTAAATTTTCAAAACTAAAAGTGTTTGACAGTTTTACTTTGATAATCAAAGAACCATGTAATATATTTTTTTGTCTTAATCTTTTAAGCCAGAAAGAGAACCAGGAAGAGAGCCTTTTTAAAGTCCTGCCAAATATATTACCAGCATCCAATAAATGAAGATAAAAATTCCAGGGAACTAGTTGATAATTAATCTCTTATGTCTTTTCAAGCTTTTGACACTTGCATTCAACTCCAAATTAAGCTTCTGTGGTGTGATTACTTCCCTTCATTATTTTTTAAAATTTTAAACATTTAAGAGGAAAATAACACCATAAAAGAGGTAACTGTCTCTAGTTTAACCAGCATTTTTAAAAACTGTATTAACAAGTGAACTAAATATATTACTATGCAACCATTCTTGACTCCTTTTAGGGGGATAAAGTAGTTATTTATTGTGTTTTCTTTTGTTTTAAAAAATATTTTATTGCCGAAACTGGTTTGGCTCAGTGGTAGAGCGTCGGTCTGCGGACGGAAAGGTCCCAGGTTCGATTCCTATCGACTCTCTATTTCTATCCCTTCCTCTCTGTAAAAAATCAATAATATATATATATATATTATTGATTTTTTACAGAGAGAAGGGAGAGAGGGGGAGAGAGTTAGAAACATTGATGAGAGAGAAATATCCATCAGCTGCCTCCAGCACACCCCCTACTGGGGGTGTGCCCGCAACCAAGGTACATGCCCTTGACTGGAATTGAACCTGGGACCTTTGAGTCCCCTGGCCAATGCTCTAGCCACTGAGCTAAGCCAGTTAGGGCTTACTATGTTTTCACTTTCCCATAAATAAGCAACCTAGAGAGTGCTATGGCGCTGACAGTAGGAGTCAGATTCGTGCTCAGGCTGACCTGGTTCAAAACCTGCCTGATAGGAGTATGCCAACGGGCCAAAAACAGAAAGAAGGATGGAAAATGCAGCTTGTGTCTGGATTTGGTAAATCACAAAAGGAAGCCGAACTGATTATACCAGGCCTAAGGAGAGACACATTTTCTGATGTTCTGAAATAGAGACTAGCACAACAGATGAAACAGCCGCACACACCAATAAGATGAACTCTGCCATACGCGATTGATTCACTGTAGAACAGTCTCCGTGAGCTAATGACACAGGCCTGCCTTTCTGCCCATGAGCAGGAAATTATATGAACCTGTCAAGGCTGTTATTTCAAATCCTCAAAAGCAAACAATTTATTACTGTGTTTGTGGCCTTTCTGATTCAAAAACCTATGTTCTTAATCACTTGTTAATTTTTTTATTACTTGATAATAAACATTTATCCTAAATAACAGGTCATTTATTGTCCAAAATGCATGACATCATCTGTAGATTGAAATAAAACCTTCAGATCTTGGCTAAGCAATGGTGGCCACAATTAGAAATCCTCAGTATTAATAGTTTCCTGCATTTCATCTACTTATATTCTTAGGTGTGGCATTCACGGTAAATTGTATCTCGTATGTGAAGTTCAGCTCCATTCACATGAAATTTTAGAGGGTAAAAAATACTCTGCCAAACTTTAATAATGGTTCTTACTGTTTTCAAGGTGTGTTAGGTTCTAGATCCTAAAAATTAAGCTCTCTAGACTAGGAGCCCCTCAAGCTAGAAGTTTGGAGGAAGGGCATAATTTTATGATCCATGAGCCCCAGTCATTTGGACGGCAGCTCTGACTTGGTTACGTGAACAAGGTTCATACAGTCATGAGCAGCAGCCATCATTTCAGGCTCAAGTCCAAGGGTGTCCTGTTGTGGAGACATTCTCCTCTCCTTCCACCAAGGGTGTCAGTCCCCCCCGCTCAGTGAGACCACCCACGGGTGTTCTCAGAAACGTCCCCACTGCGGCCAGCACTGCCGGCGCTCCGCGTTGCATCAGTGTGTTATCCTCCCTTCCACCAGAAAAGCAGTTAACGTTCTTTCATGAATCCTTTCAGGTACGATGCCAGCCTGAAGGCTGTCCCTCCTCCGGACTTCGGCACCCCCACGCTGCATTACTTTGAAGACTGGGGCGTGGTGACCTACGGGAGCGCGCTGCCTGCGGAGCCCAACAGGTCTTTCCTTTCCTTCAAGTCGGGGAAGCTCGGGGGGCGAGCCATCTACGACATCGTCCACCGGAACAAGTACCGGGACTGGGTCAAAGGCTGGAGGAACTTCAACGCGGGGCACGAGCACCCCGACCAGAACTCCTTCACGTTCGCTCCCAACGGCGTGCCCTTCGTGACCGAGGCCCTCTACGGGCCCAAGTACACCTTCTTCAACAACGTCCTCATGTTCTCCCCGGCCGTGGCCAAGACCTGCTTCTCCCCCTGGGAGGGCCAGGTCACGGAGGACTGCTCGTCCAAATGGTCCAAGTACAAGCACGACCTGGCGGCCAGCTGCCAAGGCCGGGTGGTGGCAGCGGAGGAGAAGGACGGGGTGGTCTTCATTCGGGGAGAAGGCGTGGGGGCCTACAACCCCCGGCTCAGCCTGAAGAACATCCAGAGGAACCTGATCCTCCTCCACCCGCAGCTGCTGCTCCTCGTGGATGAGGTCCACCTCGGGGAGGAGAGCCTCGTGGAGACGGCCACCAGCTTCTTCCACAACGTGGACCAACCCTTCGAGGAGACGGTGGTGGACGGGGTGCACGGGGCGCTGCTCCGGGAGCGGGACGGGCTCTACAGGATGTACTGGATGGACGACACGGGCTACAGCGAGAAAGCCACGTTTGCTTCGGTGACGTACCCCCGGGGCTACCCCTACAATGGGACCAACTACGTGAACGTGACCATGCACCTCCGAAGCCCCGTCACCCGGGCGGCCTACCTCTTCATCGGTCCCTCCGTGGACGTGCAGAGCTTCAGCATCCACGGCGACCCCCGGCAGCTGGACGTGTTCGTGGCCACCGGGGAGCACGCCTACGCCGTGTACCTCTGGCCGGGCGAGGCCCCGGGCCAGGCCGCCTTTGCACAGGTCATCGCCGATCGCCAGGAGATCCTGTTTGGCCGGAGCGCGGCCGTGCAGAGCGCCGCGGTCCCCGAGGTGAAGGACTACGCGGCCCTCGTGGAGAGAAACCTGCAGCGTTTCAAGCCGGTGTTCCAGCTGCTGGAGAAGCAGATCCTGTCCCGCGTCCGCAACACGGCCGGCTTCAGGAAGACGGCCGAGCGCCTGCTGAGGTTTTCCGACAAGAGGCAGACGGAGGAGGCCATCGACAGGATCTTTGCCATATCCCAGCGGCAGCAGCAGCAACAGCAGCAGCAGCAGCAGCAGCAGCAGCAGCGCAGGTCCAAGAAGAACCGCAGGGGAGGCAAACGCTACAAGTTTGTGGACGCCGTCCCCGATATTTTTGCACAGATCGAGGTCAACGAGAGAAAGGTGCGGCAGAAAGCCCAGATCCTGGCGCAGAAAGAGCAGCCCATCGACGAAGACGAGGAAATGAAAGACCTTTTGGATTTCGCAGACGTGACGTACGAGAAGCACAGACACGACGGGCTGATGAGAGGCCCGCTCGGGCAGGCGCGGGTGGTGACCGCTGCGCACAGCCGAGCCCCGGCCCTGTCCGCTTCCTACACCAGGCTCTTCCTGATTCTGAACATCGTCATCTTCTTCGTCATGTTGGCCATGCAGCTGACTTATTTCCAGAGGGCCCAGAGCCTGCACGGCCAAAGGTGTCTGTATGCCGTCCTCCTGATAGACAGTTGTATTTTACTGTGGTTGTACTCGTCTTGTTCCCAGTCACAGTGCTAGCACTGAAGCTGTCAATCCTTCAGTCATTTGTGGTCACAAATCGATGCCAAAAAAAAAAAATTAAAAAAAAATCGCCCCAGCTATTGTTTTTCCCCCCCACTCAGATTCATTTTAACAAATTAAGGGGAAGATGTCTTTACACAAGAAAGCAAGGACACAGAGAAATCAAAATTGAAGTTGGTAAAGAATTTGTCAAAGGAATAAAAGTAGTTTGGATGTCACATGATGTTTCTGGAAATGTTTGGCTTGACTAATGGTCCATATACTACTACTCGTAAACACAAAGTCTGGTTTTAAGAAAATTTTTAAGAAACAAAGAAGACTTATAATTAAATTTTATTAATATTAACTTAATGCCATTAGCAATCTTCAGATACTGTTTTATGAGAAGACTGAAGCACACAATTCTGAGAAATACAGACTTTTTAAAAATGGTGTAGTCATGCTAAAAAATGTTGCTAAGTCCTGGTATGGCCGAGCCATCTTACTGGGAGAGTAGTTCCTTAGTGAAGTGAATAACAACACTTGTGTATTGAATTATTATTCAGATAACATGGTAAAATGATGGCAGAAAATTCATTAAAAAATTAAGATTATATTTCCAGTAGAATACATGTATGTATGAATGACAGTTTTCTTAACGATGTCCATGTCTGCACACACGTAATTGATTGCGTTTATGCATCCACTGGTTATTCAGATAAGACAATTTCAGATAACTTGACTTCCTATTTTCTTCATATGGAAACTTGCTGTGGACCTAGTGGCTAAACTTCAAAATAAAATGTTTTATATCCTGAACATTGACTTTAATACCAAAGAAGATGGGGAAGCTAAAATTTGGATATGATTCTTATGTTTTTTAAAAGAAGTTTTTCTTTAAATTTATTTTGTTTAATAAACATCATAATTGTGATTTTTCAATAGTATCCGTCGTCTTTGTTCCATTCCATTGAACAGCAGTTTTGAAAACTTTGAAGAGAAATGTTTGTTTGGGCATTCATTAATTAAACTTATAAAGTAGTATTTGAATTGAAAGAAGAAATTTCTCTGCTTATTTGCCTTTTTGTTGTTTAAACATTTCAAACAAAAGCCAACTTCTGATATTTGAGTAATGCCGTGCTTTTAAAAGCATAGAGTTTTCTTATTTATTTGCAATCAAGTCCTCAGGAGGTTAACAACAGCACAGAGTACAGTACTGGAAACATATTCCACAGTTTATACTTTGGCATAAGAAAATGATATACTTAAAAGGAACTGAAGAGTAAATTAACTGTTTACATTCAGCATAGTTGACTCTTGTCCATTTCTCCCCTGAAAATGTGTTTGATTCACATTTTACATTAAGGACATATTCACTGACTTGTATATTTGAAGTCTTAATTAATGGTGATCTTTTCCTTTCACGTCTCTTTTTTGTTTGAAAACAAGAACACAGAGAAATTCTTATGAGCACCTTTTTTTGCGGTTCTAATTTTTAACCCTCTTACATAAATGAAACCCACGTTTGGCTTTTAACTGTGCTTCACTCACTATACTTGGAATCTAGAACATGACTGATGGGGAAGTATTTTTTTTTCTTTCATGGAAAAGGCCTCCAGGGAGGATGTCATTACACACTGTTTAAAAGAATAATGTTTTCAAAAGAAGAATGCTTCCGTTCGTCCTGCATGGATGCTGTTACTGGGATTTAAACTTGCTTTATGTGACAGATTCTCTGTTTACTTAACCCCGTTCGACATTCCTCTCTCCTACTCTTTCTCATTCAAAACCATGAATTGTCTGAAATGATCAAAAGCAAATTTTGGAGAAAAAAAAGGGGGGTGAGGGGGGATTGCCCTTGGTGGCTCCCAAGCAAACCTGATATGAGATCCGAACACTCAGGCCTACTTTCTAATCGAGATGAAAAGTGTAAGCAAGTGCCAAATCCAGCATTCCTTCTGTTTTCATTAGTTTAAGGTCAGATGATAAATTAGTTAAAAGTAATTTTTTAGAATGTGGTCATCATGCATCTTTAAAAACAATGAGTGGGTTTTTTACCTTTCTATTAGACCTCATATCTACTTCACTTAAAAAGCAATTTCCACAGGCAGTGACTTATGTGGGTGAGGGAAAAGTCATGCTGAAGCTAAACACGGCTCTTCAGACGGGCATGTTTTATATCAGGGCTCGTGCATAGCTGATGAAGACTAAGGAGCTCTTTGTATCTTCCAGAAAACCCAGCAATGTTAAATCTCCCTTGTAACTGCGTGATCAACTGTGGAATCTGTTTCTGTGCTGCTCGCTCTGAAAGGAGTGTTTCAAGTTCATGGAGTAATCTGTGAGCTGTTGTGCAGGGCATTGGCAGGACTTTCAGTCCCAGGCTTAGAGAAAATTTGGGAATCCTTAGCATACAGAACTTGTCTGTGTAACGGAAGGGACATATTCCCCTTTTGGTAACTGATTAATAAACAGCCATGAGATCTGTTATCTGCTGAAAGAACATTCTCTTAAGATCATTGTCCTAATTGACAATGAAGTCAGAAGGAAAACCTTATTCTGTGACTTTTTAATAATTAAAATGTATGGTCTAGAATATTGAATTAGTTTATGACATTTGTCCTAACTTAGTAAAAGGACCCAATGTCCTAAGGTTATTAGAAAATTGTTTTAATAGATTATGCTCACTGCATAATATGTTTTAAAAAGAAGAGTTTACATTATCACTGTTTTTAAAAATTTCTTCATAGTTCACAAGCCACCCACAAAGGAATCTTAAATTTCTCCAAACTTTTAAGAGGATTCAAGTTATGAAATATACAGGAGTGGGTAAAAACAGATCAGTAATAGTAATAATATGCTCATCTTACATAATAATAGACAAACATGTAAATTGACCATATCTCCACTACGCCCACAGCCAATCAGGAGTGAGTACGAAATTAACATGACAAAGATGTTGTGTTAATTTGCATAGGGAGGGGAGGGCACCTGCTATGAGCGGGAGGGAAGGGTCTGTGGAGGGAGCTATAGGAGTGGTACTCTGGCCAGGAGTGAGGACTTGCAGTCTCCTGGGCGGCCGGGAGTGAAGCCGGGGGAAGGAAGGTTTATTCTTGCACAAAGTATCATGCAATGGGCCTCTAGTTAATAACACAAGAAGAGCAAACAACAGATATAAACTAAGACAGTCATAGGAAAACTAGAGTATATGATCATCTGTGTCAGAGATTAATTCAGGAAATAAAAGGGGCTAGAGAGGTGTGTGAAGGTCCAGCTTTAAGTTTAGTGCTAAAATGGGAACTTGTGCTCCGATTGAGTCTCCAAAACCTGCACATGAAGAAGCTGGGCTCAAGCAAGGGGCTAACCTCTCTCCCGTTCCCTGCCCTGTGTTTATCCCTGTGCTTAGTTCTTCTTCTGGGCACAGCCCACGGACTTGGTTCTCTCTTCTTTAAGTTCATGTTGAGAAGAGGTCAGTTCCTGCGGCTTATTTAGCTTACTGGCTAAAATAAGGATGGCCTCTTTACCAGCCATATTTCAGCTAGATATTTGCTTTATGCTACAGAACTTCCACAAGATACTGACTAGTTTTCAGGAAATGGCAGAGAAAGCATGTATTTCACTACATGGCCTAAGTATTTAATTTTGGGTCATTTAATGGACCGGTTTGAACACTGCTAACCAAGATGTCATCACAATGTGAAGAGTAGAAGTTGAAGTTGCATTATAACTTTCCTGTTATTTTTCTTAGTGTTGCAGCTTCCCTCTATGTTGTGTGTGAGTGTGTGTGTGTGTGTGTGTGTGTGTGTGTGTGTGAAAAATCCTTGAGGTGGTACTGATGTGCCCCATTTTCCATACACTCGCTCTAAGGGATGGTTTCCTCCTAGTTGAGGAAGCTAATCACGGCTTATCACTCAGTGCAAGCAGTGGGGAGCCAATTTTCTTTCTTTTTTTAGCTTTTATATTGAATTTATTGCCATAAAATTGGTTAATATAATTATATACCTTTCAGGTGTGCAATTTTATAGTACATCATCTGTATATTGTATTGTGTGTTCACCACCCCAAGTCAAATCTCCTTCCATTACCATCCATCCCCCTATATCATCTTCTACCTTCCCCCCACTCCCCTTTCCATCCGGTAATCACCATACTGTTGTCTGTGTCTGTGACTTTCTTTTTTCTCCTTCTTAATCTCTTTACCATTTTCACCCAGACCCTCAATCTCCCCCCAACAGGATTTTATTTTTTCAATAATCAGATTCACAATTTGCTTTAGCTTCGCCATAGAGGGTAGACCAATGGGGGAGCGAGTAGGAAGCTATTTTGATCATCTCAGTAAGAGATAACCAGCTTCTTAACTAAGTCTAGAGAGGGACTATTTAAGGCCTAGCTCACAGGTAAAACACGTGACCAAAGGAATGTATATTTTGTGGGAGTATTGGTCAAAAGATGATAAACTTAGGGACACCTAGGATGTATCTCTCAGTCCCATTTACTAGAGAGGAACATGGTTGTGTGCCATGGCTCTGCCCCTGTTCCCTGACTTCCTCTTAATAAACCTAGGAAACTGTCCATATCTTCCTGCCATTCTTATTTTAAGCCAGTTTGTTTTCAGCAGGAACTCCTCCTGGACTGAGTGGTGGGATGCAGGGTGAATCCTGGAGGGTGATGGGAAGCAGCTGGAGGGGATGTCCTCCCTTCTCCCCTCCACTTTATTTATTTATTTATTTTAAATATATTTTATTGAGTTTTTACAGAGAGGAAGGGAGAGGGATAGTTAGAAACATTGATGAGAGAGAAACATCAATCAGCTGCCTCCTGCACACCCCGTACTGGGGATTGAGCCCATAACCCGGGCATGTTCCCTTGACCAGAATTGAACCTGGGACCCTTCAGTCCGCAGGCTGACACTCTATCCACTGAGCCAAACCAGCTTGGGCTCCATTTTATTTTTCAAAAATAGTGCCAATTATCTGAGCATTTGGATTAACCAGGCAATTGGAGTAACGTTGAGGTGGGTA